TGGCAGACTGCGCTTGAATTCTGTCATATTTTCAATCACACTTGGCTGCAAAGAAGCGTACGCAAGAAAAAGTCTGCTCAGTATCTTTGATCAGAAGAGTGAGAAATTCCTCGCTTTTCATTTTAAGTTTTGCTACAGCTACACATAAACACATCTTTCTTGCTCTTTTCTACAGTACTGGTGATTCACACGTCATTATTACAGGATCCCCGGAAATACAGTGTTATTTCTTATGAAATAAACTGTTTCATATTTACTCTAGATAATTTAAAACAACAGCTATAATGCAGTAATTGTGTTACTAATAACAGCAGGAACTTTAGTAAATGCAGAGCTTGTCTTTTCATTTACAAATACTACTTCAGAACATCCCACCTATCCTTTGAGTATCAGAGGTAAGATCATAAAACCAATAGCAATTCAATGATCTATTATTTTCAGTTGTAGTAACAAAGTAACTTTTTAATATTTCAGTCATAATGCCTAATATATGCACATATAATTCATACAGAAGTTTCCACCCATGGTGATTATTTCACCTATAGAGGACTGAACAAGAACACAGATCTACCAGCACATTGTAAAAAGTTAACTATCTGTTGAGATAAACATTACCCTCCTTCCTCAAGAAAATTCATTTAAGGTCCAGTAAGGGCCCAGCGCTATCAGATCTAACCACACAGTGAAATATGTAATACTTGTATGAACATAATTTGTCAAATTGCTTCTGTCACAGGTTACATACTGACAGGAACGTGCACTAATATTTTAGGCTTTACGATACTGACCAGATAGTTGGTTGTGGTGGTGGTGGTGTTTTGTTGTTTGTTTTTTTTTTTTTAACCAAAGATGATAAATTTGTTGATGCGTATGTACTTTTAACACTTGATACATCATATGATGTATCATATACAATCAGTATTTTCAGACCATAATAATCTGTATTTACTCCACAGTGTAGATACTCAGTAGAGTTAACTACTACCATTAGCTTTCATTTCAATGGTATAGAAAGAACAGAGGTAACAGGACAGACTATTAAAAAGACAAAAGAAAAAAAACCAGGAAAAACCTCTGTTATTATTGAGGATGACAATGTATGTGGAAAAGAGCTGAAATATCAGCCCCACAACAACATGAATTTCAAGAAGTTTGTTTCTCCCTCTAAACTTGTATTTATTGCTACTAAACTTCCATACTAAGAATACAGCCTGGGATTTTTTGTGTGCTGTTTCTTTTTACCTGTGGCAGTGGTGGTGCTGGTGCCAGGTTCACATCATTCTGGCATGGAAATTCTCCAACAACAGGGCCTATTTAACATCATCAAAATTAATTCAGGACCATACTTTAATCAGAACCTTTTACATAATAAACTGTTTTCTCATATAAGACAGGTATCTATATAAAGCACAGGTTATTAATTTTAAAGTATCTCTAAATAAGATTTTCTGAACATTTTGCTTTTATACTCCATGGCTATCTTTAGAAACACAAAGAGCTTAATACATTATTTGACTTGAGAACATGTGCTGGGGCAGTGGCTTTTATTCATTTTACTTACACATAAAGAGAATGTAGAAATAAAAATTGCTCATCTACTGATCAATGAATACTTAAAACTCTTTTTTCAGGACAAATGATGAGAACAGTAGTAAATGCCAGTGGTATATGCAACAAGAGCAATGCAACAACAGCACATCTTTTAGTAAGGACATGCCTATGGAGGCATGGAGGTTACTCCATGTACCAAAATTCTGGACAGAAGTCTTCCCTGCCTGTCCCCATGCATGCCCTACTCCAGTCTCCCCCAAACTTCTTCCTGCATCCAATCCACTTGTGCATAAGAATTTCTAGTCTTAGATTCCTTAAACCTCCCTCTACCTCCATATTCAAATTTCAACCCTAACCTTCACCCTGGGAGTTCAAGTGCTTCCCTCTCCTAAAATCCCAGATCTCTACTCTACTGCTTCTGATTCTTTTCCACCCTCAGAGTAAATGATGTGTCTGCCCCCAGGAGGAAGGTTCTCTCTGGGAAGCTTTTTAGCCTTCCTCCTTCGTGTTACTCTCTAGAGGATGGGCACCTGAACTTGGCAGAATGATCATATGGACTCACAGAAAATGCATTAAAGTCCCAATTTCTCTTTCATGGCAGAAGACAAGCCGCATGCCAGATTAAATGGTTTAGGACTGGGCAGTATGTGGAGAGAATACCTCACTATAAACTCTGTAAGAACAACCACTTGTTAGGTTCTCTCTCACACTCACCCTTGTCTTGGGAAGATGCAATTCCAAGCAAGCACTAAACCATTCTGGCAATGTAGTTACTACACTTTTAAAAGTTTTTTATAGATAGAAAAAGTATTTGAGCTATTTCTATTGCACAATGATTGGTCACGAAAACTGGAAAGAGGCTTTGAAGCAAGTCTTCCTTACTCAGCTGCAGAGTTAGTTTCCACAGTACATAAAAATCAATCATTCTGAGACTGGAAGGAGTTTCATGACAGGCACACAGCTATCTGTTTCTTTCCGTTCTACAGACAAGCCTTTAATATTCTTGATTTTGCAACCAGTTACATGTTGGAGTTTAAGTCCACTACAAACTGGTGAAAAACCCGCATGAAACAACACAGAAGTTTTTCTTCTCAGTTTATTTATATTAACCAGAAACACTTTTAACCTTTTCCTTCTTGTACTCTAAAATGGAACAACACAGTTTACAATGCACAGCCAATCTACATTATTTGAAAATAAAACCTAAATAAACTTTGACTTTCTCAGAGGGTTTTCATTTGTTTGTTTGCTTGCTGTTTGGGGGGTTTTTTGTTTGGTTGGTTTTTTTCCCTTTGAGAGTGCTTGAATCAAACTGTAGACATTCATTGCTTGTCAGGGAAAAAAAAACAAACATCACATTGTATTGATAACTGCAAATCCTAATTTTGTTTTTCCCTGTAGGACTATTACAGAGTTTTATGTTTGTTTTAAAACATCCTCTTGAAAAAAGAAGTGCTATTTTAAGATACATTGTTTTAATATCAATATACTTCAGACAGCTGAAGAACTTGGTCACAAATATCAATCAGAAAATTTTAAACACCCATGTGAAGAAAACCTATAAAAATAAATACTTTTTCCTCTGAAAGGTATACAATCTCTAGAGCTGAGTTTTTCTTATAGTGTATTTGTATCATATAACATGGCTGTCTAACTATGACTTGCTTGAACAGGAATTGACTGAATACTATATTTATCACAATACTTACAGGAATCCATTTCCCTTGCAAGGACATGTACTGATACCTTGTGTCTTCTGGGAGCATCTATTGCTAACAGCACCTACGGTAAAAATAATCAAGTCCTTCAGGTGTGGGAAGTATCACTCAGACATTATATTTATAAAACAGTAAAAGAATTAGAGCATTTACATTTTAATTTGCACATTAAAATGAGGGATAAATCTGGGATATCCCTTCAAATATTATTAGAAGTAATCCACACAGTACTTTGAATTATTTTACAATCAAGTTAAGAAACTCAGGTACTGTTTAGGATTCAGAAAAGCTGGAAGTAATAGGAATTCAGCCATTAACTATCATAGTATCAGGAATGCAACCGAAAATCTCTGCAGAATTTTCAATCCCTCGTAGCCTTTTGGAAGCACATCACCCTGAACACAATTATTAAATTTAGCTGGACTTGCTCACCAATCTAGGCAGTTATTTCTGCTCTGGAATACTGGATAAACATGCATTAAGCATTAGTGTAACAAAAATAGTATACATTCCTACAAAACCAGAATGTGGGTACTTGTTCAAGTTATCCTTTATTAAACAACAGCTACTGAAGTTCCATTTACTAGGTTTGTATTTGCTGCATATCTTCACCCATGCTATCATACTATTAAAAACAAAACAAAACAAAACAAACAAAACCAACAAAACAAAGATGTTAGTGTTCACTGTGCCATGTAAATAAGAACCAGTTTTAAGCAGTAAGACTAAATCTCATAAAAATAGACGGTAATGTAAAAATGACCTTGGGATAGTGGAAACAGTAAGACAGAGTACAGAAGAGAAACCATTTTGAAAGACATTAGCCCCCGCCCCGGTCAAGAGAGGCAAAAAAGAACACACAGATACACACACCCCCATGCTTCTTCATGGGCAGAAATTTTTCCATCCAATAATAAGTTCCATCCAATAAGACGACATATGTGTGCATTATTTTTCAAAGTAATCCCTTAGCTATCAGTTGCTCCATAAGTAATAAACCAATATGTAGACTTTGCAATATAGTGAATTATTGTCGACTATGAAATTTGTTACAAAACAGAAAGAATGAGGCCCAATTTATTGGGGGCGGACACGGACACATAACCTCCCTAGTATTTCAATTGCTTATATTAGATATCTATCTCGCAACTTCACCTTGAGTTGCAATGTACAATTACTGCATCACTATGCTGTTCCTTTGCTCTGCCTAATTATGAGAGGAAGGAAAAAAAAAGTGTTGATTTACAGTGAAAAAAGCTTAAAAATATCTGTTTCATTCACAATTCATGCAAGCAAAATAAGCTGAATCATTTACTGGTTGAAGAAAAAAATGAAAGAACAAATTTGCAATTTTGGCCAAGCTTGGTCACTAAGTCATAAAGCAGCACATTTTTTTATTCATAAAGAAAGGATATATGAGACAAGAGGAGAATACGAGCTGGTAAGGTGCAAAACAAAAACCACCACAACAAAAACCCAATCCTTCTCCACAATTTTTACAGTATGCTAGTTGCCATTAAACTAAGTAAGATTCAGGAAACAAAATTATTATTAAGGTATCTGCATCAATCATACCATCTACCTAAAACAGGCATAAGTATATGCTTTCATAGTTCACACAAATAAAATCCAGTTATATCTACAACTCTTTCCAAATAACATTTTAAGTACATGACTAACTTACCTTGTAGAACTGTATAATATCATCCTTGTTCAGGGTCTTTAGATAAGCCACTTCAATATTATCTGAACAACAATAGTAAAAATGAGAACAAGTCTGCAAATCACAGCTGGTTATTAGCACACTACTTATTCAAAGCATATTTCTTTCAAATTCAGATGCTTAATTGACTGCAAATGGTATGCTTTTCATTGTTAACTTTCAAGCTAATACTTGCATCACTAAAAGTGTCATCGGAAGCCTGGCAGAAAATTATACTGGACTTACTAAAAAAAAATGCATGTTTGATTGCACTGTATGTTATTCAGTAGTTAAAAAGATATGCCTACTGCTCTATATTATCTTCAAATCAGTGTTACACATTTCTAATGCAGTCTGATTATAAATGGCTTTTATTCACAGTTAGGAAACAGGATGGTAGGATGTACTTTGGCAGGATGTACTTTTAAATAAATGTAAGGAACGGTGCATACATCATACCTGTTAAGGAATGATCACCTTTAAGATATCTGGGGACAATGTGTCTCAGTAGCTACATCACTTCATATAAATTAAACTGTAATGAACTAATCATGTAATATCATTACTGCATAAACAAGAATGTTTTTTGCTGTAGGCATGTTTGCTTTTCTCAGGATTAGCAGGAAGGTCAAGAAAGAAATGAGTGCAAGAGAACAAATATGCAGCTAACAAATCTGTGAGGCAGGCTGTAATTAATATGAAGTTCTACATGGAGGAAATAAAAAAACCTCAACAAAACAGTTTGGAAAATTAGATAACATTTAGGAGAAAATTTTTGAATTAAGTAAAGATTAAATTAACAGTAAAATGTAAAAACCTGAAGAAAAAAAACTTTTCACTTCTTAAGGCTGGAATATGAATTTCTGATTTTGACAATTCTAGTCATATTAGAATCATTAATGAAATAAAATTACTAGTGGATAGAGGGGAATTAAATATATGAAAGTCAAGGAAAATAGTAAGTTGACTGGGATTTAGATATGAAAGACATGGCTACAGCTAGCAGTAAGAAATTCCAGAGAGGTAATATAGATCCAAGTATGACAAAAACAAAAACACTTAAGGCAGAGAAAAATTAAACTGTTTCATCAGACACAAAAAAAGCACTTGAAGGGTTAAGTTTCCACACCACTCCCTATACTCAGGTATAAAACCCTGTCAGTAGCTCTCATTCTCTCAAGATCAAGCTACATGACAATTCAAAATTCTTCACTAGTAAAACAGTTCAGTTAGTTGTTGTTGACTAAAAAGACTGTATTTGCTATTGTGGAAGGCAAATACTGTGAATTTAAAGCAGAAGAGAAATCACAGGATACGGAGTGAGTTTTATGTAGGAAGTGTATTATGCATGGAAGATGGAAAATTATAGCTGTGAAGAATAGTCAAGAGATGAAAATGTGAGAAAAAGCTGACCTGTACCTAAAACTCTGTGGGTTTTGGTTTTGTTATGGTGGGGTTTTTTGGGGTTGGTTTTTTTTTTAATGGTAGAAACTATATTACTAATACACCTCAGTATTTTGGATTAAGAATCTTCAAAACAATGATGAAAAAGGGAAAAATACAATTTATACTATGTAGTATCACAATGTAAGTAACTGTCAGTCCATTTTTAGTAATAACAGTAGAAGTTGGATCTCAGTTCGTCTTCTACAAGCTTATAATCTTCAGAGTATCATGGACGAAAAACCAAAAAAATTCCTGAAGCCTACTCTAAGCTGAGACAGGTCACATGTTAGTTAAGATAGCTGCTGCTGTTGCCTCTGCTATTGTTCCCTCAAAAGAACTGCGCAATGGGAAGAGGAATAGGGTTCATATAAATGTGTGCACTGTCAGGAATGTCAAAGTGTATCTGAATGCATCTCAATCAAGTATTAGGTACACATGTAATACAGACATCTGAACATCACAGAAAGAAATTTGAGTTTATGCGGCATCAACATTTGCATTCAAACCACTTCCAATCCTTGACCTACTGTATGTCTCACTGAGCCTTAAGGGAAAGAATGGAAGGTCAACGAAGCGCTCACTAATCCCCATCACATGGCGAACATCAGGGAACACATTTATCCTCAATTACTAACAGCCCCCGCAGCAGTGAGAGCACAGGCTTCACAAATAAGGTATTTTCTCAGGGCAAAAGGAAGAAATATAATTTACAGGACACAAATCTCAAAAAAACCCCAACAACAACAACAAAAAAACAAACACAGAACCAAACCAAACCAACGAAATACCCCAAAATTAAATCGCACACAGGATATGTAAAAGTTTAAGTTTCTCCCAAATGAATATGACACTCAACAGTCACAAGTGTAGCCAAACTACAGTGTTCAGTTTTAAAGGAATTATAATTTGTCTTACCTCTGTCAAAGTTATACTGCTGGGAAATGATTTCTCCCCAGTATTTAGCACATTCTGCAGACAGCTTCTTTGGTTTGTCTAGACGACGGATTGCTAAAGCTTGGATGTGTTTTTGGAAGGCCTCTTCTGTCATATCTTCTATGCATTTCTCCATAGTTTTTAAGAATGCTTCAACTCTGCTTTCTAAATAGTGCGGTGGCTTTTCAGATTGGATAATAAATCGCAGTCCTTGTATGCCATTTGCTCGACGTGGACCACTGAACACAATGTAACCTTGGAAAAGAAAGAATAGTGACAAATTAAAAGAAATCCCTTGTTCCAGCATTAAGTTTGCCAAACATGGCATGTTTGACAGGAATGCAATTTTATGCTAAGTTTAATTCTGTATTATAAATGAAACAATGCAGGTTTTCAAAATATGCCACTGTATTTTTTTTAAAACATCTTTATTTCACTGAGGTAAATATCAGTTCGAGGAGGGATATGGCAGACCAAGACAGAACAAAAGGAATTCTGTCATCAGGATTAGGTAACCAGAAATTAAGCTGTACTCTAGTGCTTCATTAGACTCAACATTAGGAACTTAGTATTTTTTCATAACATCTAATCTGAATTCTTTTTGCAGCAATATAAGGCCACTATTTCTCATCTGATCAATTAGATACAAAGAAAATATTACTCCCTTTTTGTTGCAGCTTTTGCTTATCTGAACAACTAAGTCTTTCTTCAGTCTTTCCCCCCCTCTTTTAATAAGAAGTCTGTCACATTTCAGTCTTTTAAATGTTGTTTTATAGCTCTCTAATCATTCTTTAATGCTCATGTCAAAACTGGGTACAGTATTTCAAAGACCTTACCTGAACAACATAGGAGTATTATTGTGTGTGCATCCTGGAAGCTCCCATTTATATATCCCAGTGTTTTATACAGCAGCATGACACTGATTTATGTTCTACTTCTGATCCCCTGTAATCTGCAGATTGTTTTCTACATAACTGCTACCTAGACAGTTGCTTCCTAGCTTGTATCTGTGCCATTGATTATTCCTGCCAAACTGTTCCTACCAAATTGCATCTCATCTTCATTCAAGTCATGTTTCTAAAATGTCAAACTAATTTTGAATTCTAATTCTACCTTCCCACACACTTGCAGCCTCTCCTAGCTTGGTATTATCTGAAGATTTACTATATATATTCACTTTTCTATTGTCCAGAGTTTTGATGAAAATACTAAATAGCATTGGGTCACAATAAAGCGCCGTAGAACACCATTTTTCAAATGAACTAATCTATTCTCCAGTCATGACTTCCCACAGTCTTGCACCCAAAGGTGTAGCATTTCCACCTAGGTGCTTTCTCTAGCTTGTCTGAGAATGTTATGTGCCTTTCATACTATCAAGAAGAGACATGTGACATCACCACTTTCATCCATACAGCCAAATTCTGTTTCTACAAAAAAAAGTTAGGTTAGTTTGACATGAGTTTGTCCAGTAAGTCTTTCAGTTACCTTCTACGAATTTACAGTCGGTTTGATAACTTATTCCATATTTTACAGGAATTAGAATTAAGCTGACTGATCTGTAACTTCCCTGCTCTTTTCTTTCCTTTAAGGAAATATATAGCATTTATCCATGTTTATTTTTCCAGTACCTCATCTATCACCCACAAATTCTCAGTTATAAGACTTCTAATTCCAGGATTTCGTAATTTTGGGGTTTTTTTAATGTAACGTAGAGCTCATCATGCCTGAACTCTTTAAAAGCTTCTAATTTACCTGAACAACTTTTAATCCGCTATTTTCCTGTTCAAAGATAAGGCCTGGACTTTGGTTACCAGTATTCATTTTGGAAATCATCTGGTCACAGTTGACATTTTAAGTGAACAACAGCATTGTTGTTGTAACAAAGCCATCCTAAAACATTTTGACTTTTTTTTCCCACCATTGACAACTTTTCTCTTCTTCTTTTATTGCTAAAGCATTTATTGAGTGAGTTCTTGTTATTACTTCTACTGTTCAGCAAACTGCTAACTCCTGAACTTTTTTTTTCCCCTCAGCTTTCTCAGAAATCTTATTAACAACCCCATGAAGTATATTGAATTTCGCTGATATTTCTACTGTCTTCCCTCCTAAGTCTTGTGAACTCTATCATTTGGCAGTTACACAGTGCTGGACACACTCACACAATTCTTCCTCACTGGTTCCCCCCCTCCTCTTTAGCTGTTACCTCCAACTTCTATACCAAACCTGCCACCAGCACATTCCAAAAACCTGCTACATCTCCTGGGTCCTGCCCTATTTTCAGCAGATACCTAGATAGTCAAAATCCCTATGATGAATATGGTATGGCTGATTCTGCTAGTTGCTCACAAGAAGGCTCATCTTGTCCAATCTCCCTGGTAGTTCATAGCCATCACACCGACACATTCCTCTGCCTCTCATCTTTGGAAAAACTGTACTCCTCCTAACAGTACTTCAATCATGCAAACTGTCATGCAAAGTCTCTGTCTCTCCTTGTTATCCTGTTTGAAATAACCTTGCCAGTTCTCAGTCTTACTGGTTCAGGTAACAGTTATTTGTACTTATTGGTGAACAGCTGTGTTCTTAAAAAGCCTGAAATGCATTTAGGTCTTCACCAACATGGCAGCTTACCATTACCCGTACAGCAGTACTCCTAAGACAGGGCTTGTGAATCATCAAGTGCACCTGGAAGTAGGATCACAAGGAGAAAAGACCAAACTACTACTGATTCTTTAAGAAGATCTAAAATTTAGGAAACTGATCTAATCTCCTTCTGGTAAAAATTCTACATTCTGTACAGCAATCAAACTTTTTTTTTAAGCCAGAGTTGGTTTCAGACATTTCAGACTTATCTTCAAAATTACGCTTGCTTCTTCTCAATTTAGAGTCTACGCATAGTAACATTCCTTTGAGTCATCAGCAGTTAAAATGATTTACGTTTACCAAGGGCCCTTTAAATGGCATTCACTAAGCAGGGAAAGAACACCTCATCATGTCTCATATAAGTGTGCAAGTATGCATGCATGTATGTATACAGACACATAATCACTATGGGAAAACTTACCTAATTGTTCCTTGGTGCGCAGGGTATTGAAGCAGGGTTCTGAGATAATTTGACAAAAGAGCTCCAAAAACATATTCTCAGAAGTGCTCTGCATGTCTGTCTGGTAATATATTTCAATGCCACAGTTGTTATGAACTTCATTTCTCTGCTGATACACAAACCAACCTCCTAGAAGACAAAGTTAACACATTTAAGTTCACAAAAACATACATTCTTATTGTCCACAATTAAAAAGATAATGGTCTATCACTTCTGGAATGGAATTATAATAAATGGTTCAGGACTGTTAAAGCAGAATTTCCACTAACAGCATACTATTCATGAAACAAGTAAAGAAAAGATTATTTTAACACATCAAAATGTCATAGCTTGAGCACATCAGCAAATAAATTGAAACTGGCTGCTTCTCCTCAAACAAGTATTTTTGGAACTGGAGTGGAATTCTGCATTGCCTCTACCGTGTAAACAGTTTCTAAAGACAATTTCTCAGAAACATTTATGAACATTAAAAATAATTCAGCATTTAATACCAATAGCTTCCTTGGTATACGGTAGCTTCTACAGGCTGATGATCAGCTATGGGTAATTGGCTTCTTTGGCTGTATAGCTACGTATGTCATCACTCCTGTATAACTCCCAGTAATTCCTTGAACCTCCTTTCTTATATATAAGATTTTTTTGCACAATAGAAGGAAAATCATATACAAAGACTACAAGACCAAAAGAACTTATATTAGGAAAAACCCCAAAGTTACTTGTGTACGAGCTTTTAGTTTTCTGAAAAAGCTAGAGTCACTTAGGACAATCTTTCAATGAATGGTCAATTAATACTCAAGTGCTCAAAGACTGGTGCTTATTCAAATGTGTATAATAAGTATAGCAGAGCGTGGGATGGAGCTCTTATTTCCATTCATCATACCAAGTAAATGAGGACTGAGTCACTGAATGGTTTGGGTTGGAAGGGACCTTAAAGACCATCTAGTTTCAACCCCCCAGAAGTCCAATTTACATACACAGATTAAAAATGAAATCAAATTCAAGTATACCAGAAAGATGATAACTAGCTTGTAATCATATTAACAAAAACCACACCCAAACTGTATTTTTAAATTTAAAGTTTAAAATAATTTGAAGTAAGCCTGATTTCAAAACAAACTCCTAGCAACAGAGTAAAACTAATCTTAAAATGTCACAAGCAAATAGAGAATCTCAATTTAACGTGTGTTAAAAAACTGTAAATAGATCATTTAACTTACTGTCAGGAAGTTGTACTTCTCTGTATCTCACTAGCTGACTGGGAAGGAGTGGCTTTGTATGAGCATGCTCAATGAGAGTGTCCTCAACCATCTGCATAATTCCTAATGCAGCCTGGAAGAGAAAACATAAGAAGATTTTTAACGATCGTTAGTTATTCTGTACCTAACAGCTGGGTAAGAACTTTCCAATTATTGATGGTGCTATGAGAGAAAAGGAAAAAAAAAAAAAAAATCAGGAATAGAAAGTAGGGATATTGTAATTTAATAAAAATACAGCAGAAACTGAGTAGATGAGAGGAAGGTGGGAACTTTAGGGGCAAGGGGTTTGTGGTTTGTTTTTACATTTATTTTGTCTACACATTTAACTACTACTCATCCCCAGTGCTTCTGAAATTAAATAGACGTCTTTTTCTTTTCCCTTCACCACTTTGACATACTCATCTTTCAAGGTTTGAAAACAAAATATCTACAATGTACATTTGCAAAGCAAATGACATCTCAGCAGACGGAATTTTAAGAAAACAAATTAATGGTTAAGTTCAAACATGCATTCCATTGATGTGCTGGTAGTATCAGGACTCATTGCCCAGATACTTTCTTTTATTCGATGGATTAAAATAATAATAATAAAAATCATAAATAGTGAAAAATAAAAAAAAAACAAAACATTAGTTTCATTCCAGGATTTAACTTCAAAAGCTTTACCTGTTAAGGATTATATGTTCTTATAACCTGCACACTGGAAATTACAGTAACTTGCTACAAAATAGTTCTGGCTGCCACAAACTCACAAGTGATCTTACCAAAAACATGCCAAACATCTGAAAACTTAATAAACACACACTTCCCTCAATGCCTCCCAAAAACCCCACCCAATATCAAAGACAAAAAGATTGTGGTCTAACAAAACACAGTTTGAAAGGTTAGAAAAAAATTCCATATATTCTTCCAATCAAGTTACCATATTAAAACAAAATATTTACAACAAGACTGTTCAAACAGATGTTCTGAACAGGATTAGTCTACTAGTCATCCACTTGCAGCAAATAAATTAAAGGAACAAGCAAAAAACAAATATCAGAACGAAATTAATTCAAGAAGAAATGGGAATTCTAAGCAGCAAGATAGGTCTAATTTTTCAAAAAGTACAGATTCACTAAGACGTTTTTCAGTATTGAAAGGTGTCACAAGAGTACATAAATTGTTATTTCATTTAAGTTGGAAAAAACTGTTAGATCCAGCTTAAAATTTCTGAGCTTTTTCAGTGATGATCACGTCACAGGCACTGAAGAACAGGAGTTTTCCTACCCGCATCTATTCAGGCGGGTTTGCAGATCATTTGTAAACATTACACAGCTATGGGCCTAATAGTACATCCCCCCCTGTTCTCAGCTATAGGACTCTTCAATAGCCACCCATTATATCAACTGAAGAATGCATTTCTCTGCAATGACTGCATCATCATGGAAATCTAAAAAAAATCTGGTCATTCAGTTATATTTCAGAAGGAACTGACTTTCACGTAAACGTGTAAGAAATAAGGAAGGAAAAAAGTGAGACTATTTTTTACGTTTCTCCACATGAAAAATACTCTATAAAATAAATAAATTTAAAACATTTAGAGACATCCTTGAAAAAGAAAACTTTGTGCATCCAGTGCTATTAGCTCCTTCACCTTTTTATTTTTCCCCTCCTTACTAGTTAACTTTCTTCTCCACACATTCAGCAGTCACTAGCAGTGACTACAGTATCTCCCGCTAGTAAAGTATCACAGAGCTGCTATAACACAGAAATACTGCTATACCAGTGCTACAAAAAAAGAATGCAAAAATGTACAAGAAAGGTACTACATTTTGTATTGGCACATATATTCAAATATTTGGTTAGATTTCCTATGCAAATACAAACCATTACTATTTTAATGGAAGACAGAACAAATGTTTTATTCCGCAAAAGACACAAAAAACTGAGAGCTGACACTTAATTTTTTTTATGGCCCACCATTCCTGTTTAGCTTTGTGCAAAGTACTTCATTTGGGAGGATCTTGGATTCTTAAATCTTTGCTAGTTAGCCTAAAACTTTTACATGGAAAAGCAGGATCTGCAGCACATCATTCCTTATGCAGCTTGATCAAATCACAGTAATGACATGCAACATAGACTTTAAAATACTTAGATCCTAAGTTGTTTTTTATTAAATTTCCAAGAGCAACACAAGAGCAGCACTTAGCCTAATATATCTAAAGTGGAAAAAATGACACTATGATACTCCCATAAATATAAAAAAGTACGAAGCCAAATTATGAAATCACATTTGGCAAAACTGCTTTAAGATCTGCGGAGATTAAACTAGCCTTCCATTTTTTATGCTGCTTTTAAATAAAAATTGTTTTATTGACAAAAGTATCACACCAACCTGTTTTGTTATATTGCCATGGAGAAGAGCTTCAATGTGTAACCGTGACAACAGCTGAGCTATAAAGGCCTTGAGGCGGGGAAGAGTGACATCTAGAATAGATATTTGGACAGTTAGATCAATTACACGCATTTTTACATTAAGAAGTACCTAACTCATCATTACATATGGTGAATTTCTTAGAGGAGGAGAAACTCATCATCATGAAAAAGCGAGTATCTCCTTAAAAATGCAACACTGGAAAGTATGCAGGTCTAAATAGCAGCACTCATCATATAGTTTGTTTCGCTTAGAATGCACATACCGTCTGACCCAGATTCCAAAAAGAAAAGGAAAAAAAGCGCCTGCCTTCCAATCATGCTAAACAAACATTCATTCTTCAGAGAAAACAGTTGCAATCATTCAGGTGGTGTTCCAAGATAAAGCCTTAGTTATTAACTAAACAAGCAGCATGATGTTTATAATGTTTGAGAAACACACTGTGCATTTACCATCTAGACTGAAAAAAGAACCTCAACTCAAATATGGTGTTTTGATAGTATCTTTGTAACAAACAATACACAAGAAAAATGTTTTTGCAATATATTCCAGAGTATACATAGACACACATTGTATACTAGCCTGTCTTTGTAAAGCAGTTTTCATATATAATGTAAAGTATATTTTAACATATAGAATCAATGGAATAAGAGAGGAAGGGTGGTTGAATGGACGGGGTGTTCATTCCAAAGTCAACATCTCCATTCTTAATTCCCTGACACTACAAGAATACCCACACTGTATCACCAAATCTATTAATTTCTCATTTTGTCATTTTCTCAACTAAAATAAGAACTAACAATATTCTTGTATTTTAAAAAAGTTTTGAAAAGACAAATGCAATCAAGATTATAAGGTCACTCATTCAGTCGGGGATGCACACGTATCTAACAGATTTGTGGTTTGTATTAGAAAAACGTACACTGTGCTTATCAGTCTTTGCCTCTCTTAAAAGAGGTAACTGACCACCAGTAAAAAATTCATTTCCACATTTTTCCCTGACTCCAAATCAACTTTTTATTGTTGTATAATCCTAATCTTCATTTTTGCCTCTAGAATTGGTTATTAATAGTGCAAAAGATTATGGTCACATTGAGTGTGAGAAAGGAAAAGAGAGGGGGAAAAAAAGAATCATGCATAAATTCCCTGTATTTCAAGTAGATTTCCAGCAGCATTAAGTAGACAGCATTCCTTTCCAGCATTCCATTTTTACCCATTCTTATGCTGAATACAGAAGCATTAATCTTATAAAGACAGCTTACACACAGAACAGAAAATCTCGTATTTTTTCAAAATTCAGTAGTTGTTAAGAAAAGGAATGACCTACATATAGCTGAACCCACTGCCATGAAAAAACAGCGTTAGTTTTGTCATTGACTTCACAGGCAGCACTGGCACCACTGCTAATTTCAGAGATACCTGCAATCATTCAAGTAACTATACAACTAAACATTTATATTTCTATCCTGGAGCAATTCTGTACAAAAAACACACAACCCTGTGCAGCTGGCTCAGGGTATCTATAGAGCCTATCTGAACGAAGCGGTTTTCAGCATCACAACTTCAAACAGTATGGTATGTGTCAATCTTTGACAACTATGGGTACATATTCTGAGCCCACCACCCTCAAATAAATACAAAAGCCAGATATTCTTCTTGAAAGTAATGTCTCCGTGTATTCCAACAAGATATTACAAGATATTTTGCAAACTGTCCCAGTAATAGCCTTTTGGTGTAACACAGTACAATACAGGTAGGGAAGCGCTCTTCAGCTATTACTAAAATCAATTAAACCTCATAATTTGAAATTCCTTTTTCCTCCAAATACAGTGGGGCACCTGCTCTTTGTTAAGAACCACAATGTTCTTTATTATCATTATTATCTACAGAAATGATATCTTTTTTCTTTATTATCTACAGTAACAGGAGTTAGGATTCCCTAATAAAGGAAAAACCAAAATAGTATGCATATTGAGAAGTACAATGCAGATACACTCCAATGTGTCTGCAAGATGTCAACTAGAGCCAAATGATTTTAGCAGTGTTGGTTAAGAATTGGATTCACCACACCCAGGCTAATGCCCACAAAGCTGTTGAAGTTTTGCCTGAACTTTACCTGCAAGTTTTGCCATTTGACGCCTTTTGCCTAAACTACTGTACTTCCTAGAAACTGGAGGACTAGTGCAGAGGCATCAACGTCCACCAGCATCAGCTCACGTCTGGCACTGCAGGGGCTTCACTTGAATAATGGGCAAAGTTCAAAACAGGTACCTTCATTAGTTTACTAACATTTTCCATAAGACAAAATAAAAATAATAAAGTTTAAAACTGGTAGAACATTACCATCTAGAGCTTCTTTTAATTCATCTTTGGTCCAAGCAACTTCTGTCATCAAGAGTCGGAGATAATACATTGCATGCTGGTGAGGCTGTTCAGCCCTGAAGTTGTTAAGCGATCTCATGTACTAGAACAAAATAATTAAGTTCAAATTGTAGAAATCTATTTCTAAACATAAAATATTAACCTTGTATTCTCAACTTTGTGTACCATCAAAAAGATACCTTTCAACTGTCAAGAACATTCTCTTGATTGTTAGACCTGTTAAAAAAATGTGTTAAATTACCTTAGTAATAAAGTGGGCTTCTCAGCCTATGGATTAAGCAGTACCCATTAAGATAGTGGAAATGAGCAGGAAATCAAACTTCTTCATAAAATTAATGACTGGAAATTAAATTATTGCAGTTAGACCTAAATAAATATTTAGATCGAGTTGCTCTACTCAGGAAATACACATTCTGCGATGACTCTCCAGGGGTGGGGTGGGGGAACAGCGCTAATAGAAAACCGTATTTTTCTCCCAGTTGCTTCCTTGGGCTGACTTGGTTAGAAAAATACAGCAGCATCTGGAAAACTCTTTGCCTTCTTTGCCTGAACAAAAGAGGTATGAGAGAAGAATCAGTGAGCTTCTCCAAACACCTTCTAGTCCAGCTGCATCTTTACAAAATAAGCAAAACCTTTTTCTCCTACTAGAGGAACTGGAAAGTGCAAACTAACAGTTTCGGCCAGCTGGGATTATTTCCATTACAGGAGGAAAGTAACCCATTTCAGGGCACATGAGTGAGAAACAGCGAGCATGTAGTTGCTGAGGATGCATCCTTCTATCTGTTCCAAATAGAAGCCAGAAACTGGTATCACCCTTAACTGTTAGGTGCAGATACGAGAAGAAAAACTGCCGTCTCCCCATCTGATTTGACTTTTTTGTATTTCGTCCTTATTTTACATAACACAAAAGGCCTATGTAATGGAAGTCTATAAAATGACAAAACATGCATAAAACAGAGACAAAGTTCAAGCAAACTGTAAAGACAAACAGGGAAACAAATTAAAATAAAATCATCCAAAGCAGATCATTCATATTCAATATCTATAGATCAGTCATTAAATTTAGGAAGTGAGACTTCCAGAAGTCAGCATGTACTTAACCAGCTGGTTACTTTTGTACCAGAGGATCTTGGCCCAGGAGCAGAGCTCCTCTTCACATCTAGGGAGAAGAAATGTTGCAAACCTTTCAATGCTTCTTTTCCCCCTTCATCGATCTACCCCTTCTTTTAGGGCTAGATCCCACTGGGGCCTTTCCAAATTGTAAAACAGGATATAAAGTTAAGATATCCTCCCCACCCCCCTTCTTAGATTTCTACTCCTATCAAAGCAAGTTGCAACCCCTTGATCAAACATAAGAAAGACCGACTGAAAGAAGATTCCAGGGTCAGTTATTTTTAACTGAAGGATGTAACATAAACACTCCAGGGAACTCATGCCCACAAAAAAGACAACAGAAAAAAGCTTCACCAGTCCCAACAAGGCAGAATTTCACTCTGTCTTTCCACGGATAACAGTCCTCAGATTTCATTTCAAGTCAATGCATTCAATTTTAAATTACTCCAAAATATAAATTTCTTATGTAGCTTACCGCTTCCTTGATAATTTCAAATCGTTTTTCATCAATCTCAAAAGTAGCCATTTTCTCAATGATCTTCTTGAGCAAGATATGTTGCTTGTCATTATAACCTTTTACAGAAAGCTATGAAAAAAGCGCATAATTTGCTTTAAATGTGGAAGATAAAAGAACAAAACAATTACCAAGTCTTGTATAGTTCAACGAACAATACACTTTTCAACACTTACTCTAATTTCAATGTTATTCAACATTAACTCATGCTGAAACAAAACCCCTTTACCCATCAAAAGATAACTGACGAATATAATATTGCATATTTGCCCTGGAGTTATGAGTACAGGGAATTAATGTAATTTCATGTTGATGTAAGGAAATTGTACTCAGAATACAGATTTTTAATGTTTACAAGAATTGAGTCCCGTCAATAAACTGTACATTTGGAGTACTGAAATGGTTTTACTCTAAGTTTCTCATTTTAGTAATGAAATCTAGATTCACAGCCTTCTTAAATATTCTCTCCAGTTTACTTCACCTTGTTCCATGTTTATCTTACTGCTCAAAAAAATATTTGAAGTAAGTGGAAGTAAGGAGCACTACAAGAAAAGGGGTACTGTCAACAGCAGCACAATTTATAACCAGGATAGTGCTACGCTGAAACACCAAGGTAGTTAGTCTACAATCATAATGAGATATTGATCTGATCATACACTTTTGAAAGTATACATGAAACAAACTTGGTCATTTAAAAAAAACCAACATAGAAACGTTAAAATGACTATCTGATTGCATGAAGCTACAGAAAGTTTGTCTAGTGAAAAAAGGCATTAGAAGGCCTTTTGGGGACGAGAAAAAAATTAAAAAATTTGGTGTCTCAAAACAGGAATTTAATTGGATTTGTGCAGTTTAATAATTAAAGGATAAAACTAAATTTTACGACACAAACTAACATATAGGTGAACTCCTGCTTTCAAGCAGGAAGATTTTTTTCTTCTATAGTTGCTGAAACATACCTGAACCATGAATTTGACTAAAAAGCTATCATAAATGGATTTATGACAAAGGCTGATATCGTAAATTAGCATAAGAACCCAAACTGTTCAAGTCACCATGGGTGATTGTTTTCAGTGTAGCATCTGTCCTGCTTAAAGTATCAACATTGTACAGTTACACCTATTAACTATAAAATTTCTCACAATATAGGAAAGAATATTAGAAGTTCCCTGACACTAAAACGGAGTAAATTGATTTTAATACGCGAAAATAGAATCTATACAGTCCAAGAATATAAAGACCCTACAAAAACCAGCTAATATTTAAAATAACTCTAAACTTCTAAACTGTGACCAAAAGTGACGAAAATTACAGATACCACTCCTTTTTTTTTTTTTAAAAAAAAAAAAGAATTCACTCTGACCATGGAAACATCAGTAAGCTTTGAAACTGAGAATAGATAACCATGTTTCCAGTAAGTTAAGTGAAGGCTACCAGGAAATTAGATTTGCATTGGATAAAAAAAGAAATTGCAGCACTCTCTTTCATATAGAAAATGTAGACAATATACAGCATATTCTCTTACTAAGATGCTTCCAAAAACAGTACTTCTACAGGAAATTTCAAGACACATTTTGGAATAAAATGATGGTTAATAAAAGCTTCAGAACTTCCAGAGAGACTATTAAAATCTCCTATCATAAATCTCATAGGAGAAGCCGAGTAAGAAATAACGATTTATCATAATATCAGTTTTTATCAAGTAAGTATTTTCAGCAATTTAAAACATTATAAAACACATAATAAAAACAAACACTAAGGAAAAGCTATAAATATCCAGCATTGCATTCTAATGAACACATGCACAATCCATTTCCACAGCTTACTACAGCAGAATTAGAGAATTATAGCAAAATCTATAAAGTTGAGATTCATTCAACAGAAAAGTTAATTCTTTTTATATAGAAACCAGCAATAGTACTTTCAGGATTACCATGCAAGCAAGTAAAAATGTGAACAAGAATGCAACAATTGCACTGCACACATGTTCACACGACACTGCAATCTTAAACATGTCACTCAGTACTGATTAAAATATAGTTTTGCTTTGCCTTTAATTCATGAGATATATGCAAGGAAAAAAACCATTAACCATCTCATTTAGAAATGCAGAAGTCAAATGTTTTCTCCAAGCTCAACAATTCCCAAGCTGTTTCATTTCCTCCTGCGTTTTTTTCTTTACTTACAAGTATTGCATTCATTCCTGATGCAATGCCATAGATCAAACCTGAGAGGCGTGCTGCATATGTATACTCTTTTAAATCATCCTTCAATAACCTGATAAACAGGTATGTCATGTTGCAATGGAGAGGATCAGCATAAATGTAGCGACTAACAAAAAGAAAAACAAAAGAAATGCTTTGATACCTCAAGCAGTGACAAAGTAATGGATGAAGAAACATGACTGAAGAGTATGTATATGCAGCCTCATGATCAGTATTCTTGAACAGGAAAGCTGAAGTGTACCATTTATTTAATAGCATGAAAAAGGGGTCTTCTACCCCATCAGTCAGAAAGTTTTTAGTAGATATCTGACAAACTGAAAAAGGCGTGTAAGCTTGGATTAGGGTTGCTTTTTTCTTTTTTTAAATGGAGGAACAAATCTTACAACTAATTGATTTCATGAATGATATAAAAATAAAGAAGAAAATTTGCTTAATATGAATGGAAAGATTGTTGAAGACTTTGAACAAAATTCAACTTAAAATTCAAATTAAAGAAAGGATGGTTAATAACCAAGATCAAAAGGAGTAACAGCCTTAGACCCATCTTTTAAATGAAAGTCCTTCCATCAAATCAATATAAAAATGTTGATGAGTGGAAGTAGTTTTAAGGCTCTAAGCTTTTCCTTGATATGGGTACTTACATACATCCCATAGATGGTATTTTGGAGATCATAGTTCAAGCCAGCTAGTTCTGCTGCATATGCATACTCGTTGAGGGAGTCTTTGAGTAGCTCAAGGTACAAATAGGCCATGTTACAATGCAAGGGATCCACGTAAGCAAATGGGCTGGAAGAAAATGTTGAAAGTAAAATAGGCAGTTTAAAATTACTTCTCAGTTTCTTTTGGCCTTTTAAGTTTGATCTGAAGGAAACAACATTTACTGCAAGTATGCTGACGGATCCCTTTATGAAGGATTCCTAACTCGAAGCCAAATATGAACATACCTGAAAATAATGATTTAGTTTGCTTATGGTTTGAGTGATGGCTAAATATATTGAAGATTCTAGAGATACTCTCTTATTTGTGCTTATAAACCAAGACACCTTAAATTTACTTTGCTGCACAGTAAGAACTCACCAAGAATAAAATAAACTAATAACCCTGAATAACCGACATAATTTAATAGACTGAAATGAAAGCCATCGTACTGAACATCAATTTAATTAATACTTCTACACTGTCAGAAAACAAAGTAGTTTCTACTACAATAATTAAGATATTAGCAATTTGTGGTATGAAAAATATGCAGTACATGCTAAGTTCAGCTCAGGAAAGAAGTCTGGCATATCCATTTTCATACCACTGTCATTTTTTGTGTTATCTTTTTAATGGCAACAACTATACAAGCTCTACTGTTGTATTAGAAGCATCTGATCACATACAATAGTGTTGCAAATTTCTCAAAAAGAGAAATGCAACTCAAAGACTCAAGCCATGTTTCAACTGCGCTAATTGTTAAATATCTGTGTGCTTTAAAGATTTGCAAAGTCAAGACAAGTTATTTGTACTATGATTGAATATTTATTTCTAAAGCTTCTGAAGTGCATGTAAAATCATTATCAATTTCACAGAAGTAATCGACAGTACCTAAAACAATTTGCTGTCAGGACATGGCTTACAATTCAAAACCACGCCACTTGCATTTATTTTCCCTAAGCAGTCACTAACAGTCATATCCATATTATAGATGTTTATGCCTATATAGCATGGTGTATACTATGCATGTATACCAACATTAATGTAGTAAAACAAATATCACATCGCCACCACACACATTGATAACTTTAAAATCCATTGCAAAGGTATTGTTAAAAACATTCCTAGTAGTTTTTAGTAAGGCCTTGATTTCTCCTTCCTTTTAGATTAAGGAAACAAAGCATAGGAAGAGATTTACAAAAACAAAACCAAAAATCTATTAGAGAAGTAGGGCCTGTTATAGTCTGAAATCTTAGGCCAGGATATGCTTTTTTACTACCACTGGGTTAATTATTCTGGGCTTGCGTTACTCAAGCAAATAGGTCAGTTAAAAAAAAAAAAAACCCCACACAAACAAAAACAAACAAACAAAACTCTCTCCTATTTGCATCTCTCCCTACAATGAGAATTTCCCAAACTGAGCAGTTTCAATATGCTCAATGATGCAAATCCAATTAATATTGAATTTTTAAATTAAGATTGAATTCAAAGCAAGATGTAGGTCAACCCTATGTTATCATAAGCCTTCCTCCAAACTCATTATATTCTTTTCCATTTTGATACTAGAATAGAGACTTAATCAGTCTGACTGATTACTATGTCTATATCAGTTTTAACTTGTGTATACTCATTCAGCTGGCAAGGCCGACAGGGAGTTCTGCAATTAATGAAGAATACTAAATCATTACCCTTCGAGTGAAAAATAACAGAAAACAATTATTGTAACACTGTTCTGGGAGTTGCCTTCTATTAGTAACAACTTTGTAAATAAATGCTTATTTCTAGTTTACCTTTTTTTGATGAGACTTGAGGAAGCAAAGCAACTCAATCACTGATAGTGTATTTGAAAAAATCTGAAAGTCTCATTTTTCCTCTTTTAAACAGAACTGTAATTGACATAGCTGGAATCAATGCTGAAGTGTTGATCCCAGGTTACCTTATGAGCAACTCAAGTTGCTTGAAATATTTCTTAAACTGGAAGGTAGGAAGTATCCAGTTAAAAATAATTAGCATTGTATTTTTAACATCCATCTCTCTAAACCCTGGGAAGCTTCTAGTGCACACTTTGTAACTACCTTCAGAAAGTTTTCAAAACAACAGCACATTACAGTTTTACTTTGCTTCCTTTTAAAAAAGGATGCTTCTTGAGTTCTTAAGTCATAATTCATACAAAAGTAAAAGCTTATCATCGTTCTTTAGGCTGGATAAGTCCTGTGTCAGAGGTTTTTACTGTGGTGTTTCTTTAATGCAAGACTTGTCCCATGTAAAGATTTTCAGTTTTGGAACATATAGGTTCATATGCTTGGATTGTTCCTACTGGATTTGTATGTCTGAGGGCAAAACCACCCTCATCAACTTCCTCTTAATTCATCTACACAGCAGTTGCTGCTGTAACATCTCGGTCAGGAATTCTTCCAATGATTCATGATGATCAGGGCTGCAGGCAGAAGAAATCCTTCATTTTTTTCTATCTTACTGAAACAGTCTGCAGCATGAACAAATTCTTGTAATCTGCTACAAGGCAGCACAGCCATCATATTCTGACCTAGAATTGAGGCTAAAACTTTTTATAAAAACCCATGTTATTAAGACAGCTTTATTCGCCAATACACTTGGCCACAAGAGCTATGGGTAATTTAATTGTCTCATGAATAAACACTATACATGTCACCATTTCCTCCAATGACCATTAGCATGACCAGTCCCAAAAGAGAGAGAGAATCACTAAGAATCTTTCTTAGGTATCAAAACCAGACAAACCTGCTTACAACTTCTTTGGAGATGATGTACCCAATATTGTCAAAATCTCCTCATATCTGTTCATATACAATTACCATCTTATTTTGAAAGAAAAGGAAAGAACTCTCATCCCCAAGCCTAAGAAAAAAGCCAGCTTTCCACCTGTAACCATTCCTAGGAGGAAAGAGGCAAATCATTCCATTACATTAGTCAGCAAAGCTCAAGTACTCCTGGCTTTTTAAAAGGGCTCACTGAGATGAAAGTAAAGGTCCCTTCCAACTCAAACCATTCTGTGTTTCTATGATATTGTGCATCTGTACACATACTTACACTTTTGTGTGCTCTACATAAAACCAATTATTATCTTTTAGTCGTTCACAAACTGGTAGAGAGACTGGATCACCCATAGTTCATTTGGAATTGATTTTAAAAAAGCCAAACTCACAACTATATAACAAACTCGGTGTGCATCAATAAAATCCTATTCTGGATTTTGGCCAAAAATAGTACACGGGAAAGCCACCAGGTATGAACAAAGAAGGCAAAGTATTGCAATTGTTGTTCTCTGAATAAGAGATGAGAAGTTACCATTTTGATCTTCCATTTCCTGACACACTGAAGTTGAAACAATTGTAATGTTTGCCCTGTGGTTTCAAAAAGCAGAAAGAAAGAGGAAATGCCCAGGCAACCTATTTTCCACCACTAGTACCAACACCAGTCCCAAGATCTGACACTCTCTGAAAAAAAACCCTAAAATTCTGCCGAGAAAAATTTCAAGTGGTCACTCAAAACAAGGACTCAACAGTGCATCTATAAGCATCTATTAGAGCCCACATAATAGCCTTTCCAGCAATATCACTGAATCATTTAATTAGGCCAAAGGAGTAGAGTTCCTAAAATTATTTTCACTTTCAGTAGTCCAGCACAGAAATAGCTGCACTCTAAAGATAGCAGTATTTTTAATTCAAAAATTAGAAATCATTATTTGAAAGGGACACTAAAGAAGGCACATCATTGTCATGTTAATTTAAAAAGATAATTTTCCTGTGATGAAAATAATGCAAGACCAGAATTAACATTACAGAACTTTATCATGCATCTTGAGGCAAGAATCACACATTCACTGATAATACAGACGGTGTTCTTCTAAAAAACAAAAAAAAAATCAGTTGTTGGTGTCAGTTAAATAAAATCCCACAATTTTAAGCACTTAGAATTTTATACTGGCTTGCAGTACGGAAATTAGAATTTGAACCTAAAACTATTATCAGAATAGCACTTTATTTAAAAAAGTTATCTTAAAATAGTTGAGATTTAGTCATTAATTAAAAATATTACACACCATTTTTAAAGAGGTATATTGCAATATGTAGTAGATGTTATTGGCAGGCATATTTCAGGTATAGCAAATAATACACAGAAGAAAATTTGTTTTAAAAGTATTTTTAAATAAACTTTTCCTGTTAATATAGATGGAGCCCCTCAAACCGCTTGCTACTAAACTACTGCATAACTTACAAGATCCTTCCTGCTACGTGTATCTTACTGCATATTCCCAAGCAAGGACAAATGTTTTAAAGCCTCAATACATGCAAGAAAGATTAGCCACAGAAATGCAGATTCACAACAAACAAGAAACTTTTGGAGAGCAATTTATGTGATATACTTAACATTCCATACCTGAAAAATTCAAAGTTGAGACAAGCTTTTGGCAAAAAAAATTTGTCATCTTGCTTGAACCATAGCTTGCTCATAGCAGTGTCCTGTGTCAAGAAAAGAGGTTTTGTTAAGTCACCTAACTTTTAACTGTAATATATTACACCATTTAAAAAAAAAAATTCTCTTCACCACTTCAAATCTCAGTTTAGTGTTGTTCCCTTAAATTCATATTCTTGCTATATGCATTTGCGTATATATCCATCTACCCTTATTGATACTCTCTTCTTACCATATGTCACCTTAGCAAGCAGTTAAATGGCTGCAGCATTGTGAGTGAGCTTATGATCAAAATGGGAACTACTTTTCTAGAGCAGGAGTGATCAAAGACAAGTATAGCGTTAGCTTCACAAAATTCCCTGCTAATGCTGGCATTAAAAGATGTGCCATTATGCAGCACTATAGCAGCATATGGTTACATGGTTTAGGCTAAGAACAGAATCATGTATTTAATGCTTTTAGTAAAAAATATTAATGTATTGTCTGTTGTCTTAAAGTAACACTGGTAACAAAAAACACATATGCATTTAGAAAACGTAGTAAAACTAATTGGAAATCAGTTAAAAGATCTGTCACCAAAATTTTGTAGAATAATCTCCTAGAGTACAGGAAAGAATCTAAACAACCTCCCCTACTGCTTTTTCTCCCACAAAAGCTGTGAAATAGATTCTCCCTGTTCCAACTCTAGTTAACTTAAATTGCTATATGTAAGAAAAGAGAACTTTTAAATGTAAAATTATTTCTCTGTCTCATATTTTTGAGCAGATGTTCTTTACTTCTCAGGGATTTGGCACGGTATTTTCCTTCTCCTTTTTGCATAAAAGAAGTAAGTCTTGTCTCTACAGCATATCTTCCTGTACATAATATTCAACTCATACTAAAAAGCCAAATTACAGCTCCTCTCTGACACAACAAAATTTTTATTCTGTTAAATTGCTACTATGCAGGTTAGAATACATCTTACATCAGAAAGAGAATGATAAACAGTAGAGCGCGTCTGTAGCACTGGAGACCTGATCCAATAGCTGGAGATCACTAGCTGCAGTGCAAGTACAATTTGGCCCTCAGGCCAAAGCCCATATCCTAGCTGCCCTCTTTCCTGAGGGTTTTTCAGGGCAAGAGGTGGCATTACAACAGAGGTGACCTAGTCGCATGCTGCCAGTTAAAATGGCCATCCTGTTCCCGCACTTATGTTCCCGTCCCTCCCTTTCTCCACAACACTGGTCCAGTCCATAGTAAACTCACTTAGGCATATAAAACAGAAGAAAAATTGCTTTTTTTGTACAACTAATCTCTGTTGATTTAGTTCTTGCAATGTTTTGCTATCGCCATCACACAAATGCCAGGTCCCACAAAAGGAAAATGGCACATGCATACAGCTGGGGAGAAAATAAAAGAGATGCAGGTAAAACAGATAATGTCTATTTCATCAGGAAGATTAAAACCATTTTCCCTCAGAAAACATATTTTAAAGGAAAAAAATAACTAAAAGTAAATAGATTTCTAAAGCAATGATGCATTAAAGCAAAGCTTTTGTGTGGATCAATTGCCTAGTTGCTACAGAAACACTGAAGGACCATCAAGTTTCTGTAGCAAACCCACTGGTATTACTTAATAGAGCTGTAGTATGTGTCCGTGCTGAGGTTTAGGGTTTCCGTTTAGGATGAACATAAAAATAGGCTCAAAGTTATCCTCTGTTAATAACACTGCTTCAAGTATATACCTAAAATGCCCTGTGCAGAACAAATATGTTTCCTGAAAGAAGTCTTTTCACTAAAGCAGACTTATATTAACCTACTATGCAAAAGTATTCCTGAACTGAGTATTCAAGTGAAGCACAACATGTAATTGCAGAAGACTTTTCCTATTTATTCTCCAACTAAGCCTAGAACAGAGATGAGCATTAGCAAAGACAACTACGCTTTAGTTGTAATAAGTAATTTTTAGTAAATTTTAGATACTCACAAAAACTGAGATTTGCTAGACGTACCGAAATCATTAAATGATGCTTCCAGGAGACTGGAGAGCAATGTTTATCTATCTGTTTACATCTCTCCCTCCCTTTTTTCATGCAATCACAAGTTTTTTCCATACACAGTTACAAAAGAATAGTCTTATCTACACCGTCGACTTACTGAATGCTGCTCAAAAAAATGTAAGAGTGGCAGTCACCCTTCTGCTGAATAAACAGCTTTAATACTATTTCTATCAATTGTTAACACACTTTCAAAATGGCAAAGACAGTTCAAGCTGTTTGTAGATTCGTTTTTGTAGGAACTCACATACTCATAATCCAAAGTTTAGCAAGAATGAACTTTCTACTGTCTTTCTAGCAATATGTTTCAGTTTTGTACTTTTTTTTAATTATAATTTCGAATAAGACATGATCTGTATTTTAAAACCACATAGGAATTAACTGCTAACTTCCCAAGTGGTTAGCAAACAGAACAAATACAGACAGCTTACCTTGATGAGGGCAGGGTACTGTGTTGCATCTTTTTCCAATGGTAAAATCTCAAAGTTAGTAGGAATGAACTCGTTCTTCATTGGAAGCTTGAATTTTCCATTCAGGTCAGCATTTTGCCATTTCTAGAGAAACAGCAGAAACAATGAGGCTAACTAGAATTTCTGTTTAATAAATGGATATATATTTATTTCATGCTGTAACAAAAGATTTAAAAACATGTTCCACTAGCTTATGTGTAAATACTATTA